GCTGCGTCTTGCATTTTAAATTAATATGCTTGCGGGGTGCAATAAGGTCCAAGACATTGGAGCACCTATTATTAAAAATCTTCACCTGTTCGTCAACACTCGAATGTGAAGTGATAGGATCTAAAATAAAAGGTTGATGAGCCTCCAGATACATATTTGAAAAATCAGTACAGGATTGAGCAGTCAAAATACGAGACCAACATACCCGAGTTGGTGTAATGCTAGGTAATGAAGGAAGAAGGGTGGTAAATAGCACCGGTATATGATCAGAAAAAGCAGCATCACAGAATTCAACATCAGCAAAAGCCATAAGTCAATATCAAATCTAGTGTGTGACCAAGACAATGAGTGGGGCCTTTAACCCATTGTACAAAGTTCAACGAGGACATAAGATTTAAGAAGTCCTTGACTAAAACATTAGCAGCACAACAGACATGAATATTGAAATCACCCAGCAGTACAACATGGTCATATTTGGTCAATTTCCCCCAGAATCTCAGCAATTTCTTCAATAAAATTATTAGTTGCCGGTGGTCTATAAATTAAGACGATCAGCACAGGTCTAGAGGAATTTAAGTGAATTAGCAGAGACTCAAAACTAGTAAAATTAACATTAGACAACAGTCTGAATTTGTTCTTAAAAATCGTCACAAGTCCTCCTCCTCGTCCGGTAAGACAGGGAATGTTAAAAAATTCAAAGTCAGGAGGGACTAATTCAGAAAAAGGACTTAAGTCACCTGTTTTTATCCAGGACTCGGTCACGCAGAAAAAGTCCAAGTCATTTGAAACGATGAAATCATTACAGATTAAGGTTTTATTGACCAGGGAGCGGGCATTAGCGAGGGCCATCCTGAGCTGTGGGAGTTCCTGTTGAACTGACGAAGAACTATGGATCGCGCGTAGATTATGATGATTGGCCTTCCTTCGTCGAATCCGTGGAGAAGTGCGTCGCGACGACCAAGTTGGTACATCCGACAAGTCAGGTTGAATACACTCGATATAATCCAATGATCGCTGCGATATCCGCAGACAGCAGTCGGTGTCAAGCACGAAACGAACCCTCCCAGAATAGGAAGGATAGCCCGAAGCCAGTGCTAACTTTAGTCTCACGGCAACACCTGCCCGTTTCCGCGCCTTCTTCGTTGACGCCGCCTGCCCATGACATCAAAGATTTGCCAACGCAGACAGCCAGGAGGGCTAGAAAACTTAGGTGGTGAGTAAAAACAATAGTTGCTGAGTTCAGCGTGTGTCACAGGAGACCCATGCGGCTTGGGCATAGATTGAAGAATGTCCATCAATTGTTTACGGTTGTAGGTAAGGAGAGAGTGGCTATAAAAGAACATAGACCATAAAAACAATAAAAACATAACAGGAAACACAGCGAGTAGACGGCCTGCCACACACACACCGGTGCCATCTTTTCGCTGTGAGGTCGATGAATTGTAATGAGTAATGATGTCATTATATCAGAATGAGTTAGATATCGGCCTGCACCATCTAGAGTTTCATGACAGAGCTGTGTGTTTCACACATAAATCACTTTCATACTAAGTAACTTTTTAGTTGACCAACGAGTGACCAACTTGAAACAAACCTGAAGAGAAATTGCATAGATTGTTATTAAACGATTCTGACAGCAAAAATTCATCAATGTGGCCGCATCTTCAGAATTCCACTTACGAAAATTAACCATGGTTTTATTATAGTAAAAGTGTAGTATACATGTTTTTTGTTTTTGTTTTTTTGCCATACTGACTACCATTTGTATAACCACAGTTTTACTACAAATAATACCATGGTTAAACTATGGTTAGTGTAGAAATACCATGGTTTATCTGTGGTTACCAACACATAACTATAGTAACCTATTTTGGTTTTATTTGTAGTAAAACCATGGTTAATTTTCATAAGGGTGAAAGAAGCTAGCAAACAGAAGTCACGCTTACCAGAGGATGTTAACATTTCAACAAAGCGACATTAGAAAACATTAGCAATAGCATTTAGGGACACTTCACAAATATAGTAAAAACCATTAGCATTTTGTTTATGCTAACTAGAGGAGCAAAAGATAATTGGGTTGAACTAAATAAACTTCATCTCACTACATCCTGACAGAATTTCTTTAAAAAAGTCAATGAGTAATCCACATGATACATCTACTTTACTTTCTCTCACTAAGCTAATTGCTAGCCTTGAGCTACATTAAATCCAGGGCAGAAACAAACCCAGTGACTTCCCCAATCGCATCCTGTTTTGAGACCTCCAGACACATATCACTTTCAAATGTCCAGTCTCTGCAGATCAATGAGAGGAAGGAGAAAAGACGCTACGACGGAATTTCAGGGTAAATAATCCAATCATATATTTTCTATGCTGTCAGGGACGCTCAAATTAAACAAAAAAACAAAAACAAAAAAACAGCAAAAGGAATCAAGCATCTACGGTCTCAGCTTAAATTGATCTGTGGACACGTGTGACCATACAAAGAAAAATGGAAGAAAAAAAAATAAAAATCCACAATCGATAGGATTTAAATGACTGATGCACAAGGTGAAGAGCAATGCAGTAGCCAGTCAACAAGCTCAATACGGATAAACTGCTGAAGCCAGACATCTCACTTCTTCTGAAGTCCAAGTCGAGCTCCAACGCTGATGATTACACTACAATATAAATATAAGTTTAAACACAATATTTCTCTCTCCAACCATTTCTATGGTTCTATTTTCATAATCTCTGCTGCAGATGAAGTAATGCTGTGTCTGAGCTCTTTTGCAGTTGAAAAGGTGAATGCTTTCTTCAGAAAAACATGACACCCATTATTTGATCCAAATACAAGCCAGCTATAATTAGTATCTGTAACAGACACTCAATTATTAATGAGACATGAAACAAAAGATATCCCAGTGGCAGTATTTTTGAGACTCAAAAAGTAGAAAATCTTTGCACAGCATAAACATCAGATAGCAGCAAATTAATCAGTTCAGGACAATCCAGAAAAATATTTCATCCAGTGATTCAACACTACTGAAGATGCTTCTGAAAAGTCTGACAAATTTCTATTCATTTATAATCATTAGCAGGTTCCTGTTTAGTGCTCAAGAGACCCAAGTGATTATTGATTAGCCCTCAAAACAGATTCAATTACAGGCTACTATATCCACAGCACTGCCAAAAAGTGTGTGCAAGTGAATTCCTTCTGAAAGTGCATTTGAATCACTCCAAGAGATTACAGAAATGACCATTCCTTATTTCATGTTTATAGCAGTGGGTCATGGACAACAGGGCATAAACGATGATAGATGCAAATTATAAAATGTAACTACCCATATAATCATGCATAGTTAAAGTAAGCAAAGTAAATATGCTTTTGAACCACGTTTTTAGGGATGCACCGATATTAAAATTCTGGTCAACAGCTGATTATTATTTTCAGTTGCCAATAAATGGCAGATATTAAAATGCTATACTATTTTGTCTAAATACATAAAAAATAAAACACTGAAAAAGCTACAAGTGAATTTAGGCATCATAACATCATGCACAGTATAAATAATATATTTTGACATTTGCTAATGCTTAGATTAGAATTATTAGTGTTTTTAAAGATTAACTTTAAATGAGTGTGAGATGACTGCAAAGGTATTAATGTCAATTAAATATTCAATACCAGCCAATTCCGAAAATAAAATCTGTACTGATTAAAAGTCAACTAATAGTGTATTTGGCCAATATCAGTAACTAAAGCAGGAAAACAAGCTAATAACTAATTAACCAGCTGATAGTTTATAAAAACAATAACATAAATGAAATAATTATATATACAGCATGTGACAGTTTGCAATATGTGGAATGATTTCACCTGATTAATCAGTAAAACCAATATATCAGTCATCCTTTAAAAAAATTGGTATTACTTTTCTCTCAGAAATTGCTAGTAAATTTCACACAAAAAAAATGTCAGGAACGACAAATTAATGGAATATAACATTGAATTAAACAACATTTTTAGATTGAAAGGTTTATTTACTACTTACTAAAAAAATCTTTACAGTGCACCTACATATTGTGCATCCCTAAATATTTCACATGTCTTTGATTGTTGATGTCAAAGGTTGCGCATCCAATCAAATGGTATTTTGGTGCAAATTTTTAAAACTACACCAATTAAGCAGAGGCCAACATGGACAGGTTGAATGACAGGGCCTCATCGGGGAAAACATGACCAAAACTACACAAAGTTAAACAAGAAAACAACACAGGCTAGATTAAATATACTTTATGTCTAGTTCTGTGGGTCCTGAAGCAAAACTACCAATCTAAAATGTAGCAAAGATGGAAATTACCTTAAACTGGTGTGGGTTGCGCATCCAATCAAACTTGACTTTATTTTGGTGCTAATTCATCTCTCACTTGTTTAAGACTACATCTTTAAGCCAAATCAAGCAGAGGCCAACACAACAGTTTGCATGACATGCCCTCAACCTTAAAAACCACGACCAAAGCTATGCAAAGCTACACCAGTGGTTCCACGACACTTCAAATTTTTTATGTCTCCTTTGTCTAAGACCAATTTCAGGTCTTGGAGTCTCTACTAATTGGCTGATCACATGAATCAGGTGTGTTTGATTAAAGAGACATGCAAAATGTGCAGTGTTGGGGCGGGTGATCCAGGAACGTGGTTGGGAACTTCTGGCCTAGACTACATTAAATATGGATTAAATCTGGTTCTGTGGGTCCTGAAGCGAAGCCACTGACCTATAGTGTAGCTAAGACAGAAAAGACCTTAAACAGGCATAGATTGTGCATCCAATCAAACTTCAAGGCTACTCTACATGATGCCAGATGCCAACATGGCAGGTTGCATGACATGCCCTCAACCTTAAAAAACATGACCAAAGATATGCAACGTTCACATTACTACATTAATTATGGATTACATTTGGTTCTGTTGATCCTGCAGCAAAGCCCCCAACTAATAGTGTAACATAGCCAGGAATTACCTTAAACAGGCGTAGGATGTTGGCCACCATGATGGAGACGGAGCTTGCAGCTGCGCCTATCACACCAATAATCTTGTCCGGCTTGGCAAAGATTGGCTGCTCACCACTAGTGCATCGCACATCAGTAGAATCGCGCTCGATGAGTGCCTGCACGAAAGTAAGCGACTGTTCCAGGGCATAGGTGTCGCGCGAGCAGGTGTCCAGAATACGCGCCCCCAGGGTCACGTTGGGCAGCAGGTCGGGGTCTTTGTTGATGAGGTCGATGGCGAAGAGCATGGCCTCTAACCGATGAATGCCCTTCTCCTTCTTCAGTTCCCCACAAGGGGCGCCACGTTCGCCCCTAGCATGCACCGGGAAGAGACCTCCCAGGATGATATCACCGTCCAGTCGTATAGAGTGGGCATATTCGGGAGCAGGGGGCGTCAGTGGATCCGTACGCTGGCTGACGGATCCGGCCACCCCCGTCAGCAGAAGAAGACAGCCATACCATTCAAAGGCACTCACCATTGCAGCATAAGGTGGATCCAGACGCACAAGCAGCAGTGGGGATGCAGTTACAAAGGTGGGAAGCCAGCAGGGACGGAGCACAATAACCGAATGGGGTCATCAGTGCCCCTCACTGGAGCGTACCGGATAACGGAATCCAATGACAAGGAGACCATTGGATTTGCTTGGAAGTATTTGGTGGCAAACGAGGAAGGACGCCGCAAGAATAAGATGATGGAATATGAGGCAATCACATAGTTGCTAGCTCCTCAATTACAGAGGTCACAGACCATTAGAACCCTGTGTGAAAGGGAACAGCAGAGGAATATGCCTTCATCAGCAAAGATTGGGCACATTATTTATCAGAACACACATATGCACTGCACAGCAGGGAGGCTCTAAGTGTGAAAAATGGAGAGTGATCAGTGCATTTGTGTATTCGCTAAACACATCTGATCTGACAGTCGACTTTTAAAACATGCATGTGTTTATGCATAAATATGCATGCATAATTAGCCTGTCTAACACTTTGGTTTGGAATGTCTTTATACAACAAGTGAGCCATTGTGCTTTGCAAATGCTGCCTGGAGTCGATCCCAGTAAAGAGAAGCGAAGAGTCAAAACCAATGCAGAATAAGTTTAGGATTTCTCCACTGATTCCTTGAAGTCGAATAAAAATCTTAAGGGGACAGTTCATTTACTGACCCTGATGTCATTCCAAATGCATTTATTTCTTGCATAGACCACAAATGGAGATGGCTGAAGACTGTCAGTCTCAGTCAGACTCAGACGTCACATTCAATGCATCTTTTTTCGATACCGTGAATGTGACTGAAAGGGCCTCTTTCTGTGTTCCACAGAAGAAAAAAATAAGTCATACAGGTTTGAAATAACATTTAGGTGAGTAAATGATGACAGAATTTCAATATTCTGCAAACTGGCCCTTTAAGTAGCGCACCTTTACAGTGTAAAGTATGGGCAATACATTCAACTCCATCAAATATCATTTGAATTATTGCTGTTATAATTAATAAATACGAACGAATAGAGCAAACGGTCAGCACTCTTGCATAAAAAAAAACTCATTAAATGCCATCATAGTAGAAATTGTGGTCGGGAATGAAGAAATAGCTTTGCACATACTGTTGGTAAATTAATAACTAAACAAATAAAATAAAACTTTTAAACATTTCACTGGCAGAAAAGCATCTTCCCATGTCTAATAATTGTTATTGATTAAATGCATTCAGCATCAGCATCACCACGAAACATTTCAGCAGACCTAAGTTGCACCCATATAGCATTGCAACAATTAAACAAATAGAAAACACCATATTATACTAGACTAGTGCAACTCACTCTATTGCTTTTGCGAATATAAAGAGATAACATTTAGCATGCATTCATACCTGCAGGTGCCTGAGCTGTGCTCGTGCGCTGATCGCTGCTGCTGCTTTGATGCTGCTGGGAGGGACAGCGCGCGCGAGGCGAGCGCATCAGTTCTCGCGCAAATACTCCCACTCCGTTATGATTGGTCTGACAATTTGGACGCTTTCTTCGCCCCGAGCCGCATCAAGACAAACTGGAATCAGTCAACTGCGAACGACGCATCGGAAGAATAAAAGAAGCTCCTTTAAGACTATGACATTGAAGTAACGATCATTTGTTCATTATAATGAGTCGAAAATGTGCGTGTAAAGCTATATGATTGTGTCGTTGGAAGAAATATTTGTTACTTTTCAGTCTGATAAAAGCAAAACTACGTAGAAATAGCCTATCTGTTCATTGTGGCTTGACAGCTGTTTTGAAGAGATCAAACTGTTCCACAGCCACTGCTGTGATTTATCCCATTGTGCCATCTAGTGTGAACACTGGACTTGCACAGAGCGTTGCTGTTTTCATACAGTCCGAGTCCTGCATCCAGTCTGCAGTGCTAAAATAAAACTATTGAAAATCAATCAAAGCAAGTGATGGAATAATACAATAAAAATATAAGAAGAAATAATAAAACAAAATAGAAGACAAAATCAAACAAATATTACATGAAAAACTTGATGTTCTAAAATGATGTCGTACTAAAATTGAAGTACTACAACTATAACTGAAATAAAAATAAATTCAAGCATAACAGAAATATAGCAAAATAATAAAAACGACAAACACGTAGCTTAAATAAATATAAAAATATAAGCTGATTCAAAAAAATGCACTAATGCCATAACAGTATATAGATAATACTAAAAGAATTATAATACAACAAATAGTATGCATATTAAAATCACTGTTCACTTAAATGTGGGGGGGGGAAGGGAATTTAATGTGAGTTCAGTCTTTAAGAAATTGTTTGATATTTTGTTTTCAATAGACTGGCTAATGCAAGGTTAAGCCTACAGGCAACATTTTAAAATGACATGTCTAAAAGATTATAATAAACCTACCCCTGAAAATATTCATTGGAGTGAAAAGTGTGACCTCGGCCATGAAAATGCACTGCATAGTAAAAATGACTCGCATCTAAACAGAAAGTGGGTTTTTTTGACAGCAAGAAAGGGCAATAATTCCTCTCCAGTGGTGTATAGCCTGTAGGCCTGTGCAAAGTTCAGTTTAAATAGGCTATTTGTATTTTATTTATAGATACATTTGTTTTTTGGAGTATTTACATATTGTGCATCTTCAAAACGAATATAATTCTGATTGCCACACCCATTTGCCAATGAAACTATATAAAGAGTTCGCTTCGATTATATGACTATACTGGCTGTAGAAATATTCTGTTGAACGCTCTATTCATCTCGTGTCAATTGAGGATTTGATTTTCACGGTCTCATCCAAGTTTCTTCTTTTATGAGTCTCACACGACCCGAGGTGATTTCTCCTGTAATACTTACTTTTAATGGGTATTTGAGGGTAAGGTGACCAACTGTCAAATTTGCAAGTAATTTAAAGTTTTATATCATTTCTAGCCCAATATAATTTCTGTATGTCAGGCTCACTAGTTAATGATTTGTAATGAAACTTGTGAAAAATTTAAGGGAATGTTAATGGATTTCTTTATGTGTGGACAGACAGACAGACAGACAGATAGATAGATAGATAGTATACAAGTTGACAAAGGATGTGTTTATTATCTTTATTTGAACAAAACATCCTACTGCAAGCAAGGTTATACCAGGATTTTGCAAATAAAAAGGAGTGCACACCATCAGAATGGATCTAGGTTTTGGCATTTAGATAAAGCCCTATTGTACACATAAACAAAGGGTTTAATCAAGGCATTCTGCATGCACCCCAACTAAAAGAAACTGTACTTGCAATTTACTTGCTCAAAAGCTTCGTTATAACTATTTATACTTGAAAGCAACGATGAGAGCCATCTACTAAAACTTAAATTCTTTTCTCATTAGCTTTAGTTAATAGTAGGCTACCAAACTAAAATACAGTAGTATTCCATTTCGTTTTAGTCACAGTTGGAACCTTTCATTAAAGACAAACACAAAGTTTAAGCTGTTAAAAAAAAAAAAAATCTGGGCTCTCAATTAAGACATCCTGAGCAGCTTAATATGTAGGCTTTGACTTAAAGGGCAGAAGAAAGTACATTTCTAACAAATTAGCAGCATTTCAATCCATAGTTGATTAGAGAGGTGATCACATGGCAGGAAAATATGAAGCAGAGTTACATTAATTTATCTAATTATGAATATTTAACATTAGTTAGACATGCTGTACATATACAGGGCTACCTCCTATGTCTGTCCATTGTCCATTTATGAAACATTCTTTGTGTATTTTTAAACTGTCAGAGAGAATACAAAAAATAGTGGTATAATCCGTTTACAAATTAATCAAAATTCATTTTGAGAGTTGTTTTACTTTGTCAATCAGTCAAAATCAATTGAAGATCAATCTCCTTTTGGAGGGTGGATACCAATTCTTTTACATCAGCGCCCTCCAGTGTAAAAAGCTGGAATAACATTTTTGGTGCACTTCGACTCATTCAACCCCTTTATGCAAAGGTTATCCTCTGTTTTCTACCCACAAGTTTGTCCATATACCTTCCTCTTCTTTCGCATGGAGATAAACCCATCCATGGAATCCAGTGCAAATGTGCTACGTATTCAGAGAAAAAACAGTCTAGATGGAGAGAAAGAAAGAAAAAGTAAAAATCATTAAATATATAATAACATACTGTAGTCAATAACAGGAATGATTTAAATGAAAAAGTGTGTGTACTTTCTATAAGTTTGAAGATGCTAACAGGATAGTTCACCAATGAATTAATGTTCTGACATCATGCTGTGTGATTTAATTTACTTCATTTATTAAGATTGCAGGTTTGGAATAACAAGAGTGAGCAAATACAGCAATTTCGTACTTGTAGGTGAACTGTTACTTTAAGGAAATGGGCATTTAGAAAAATCTCAATCATCATTATTCTGTGGGCAAAACCACTGGAGGCTGCCAGAAGTTTAAAAGGTCAGGCCAAAATGTGTAAAAGTTCACCGCATCTACATATCTATTACAGAAAGCAGACGATGGGGAATCCCTCTCAGATACTATCTGTACCCATGAATTTAAATTAGAGCGTAATTCCTATTACAGTGACCTTAGAGACCTTGTGACGAGAAAAATAAGCACTGCGGCAACACTGGCTTGTATAACAAAAGAATAACTGAAACCAAATGTGCCCAATTTGGATCCCTAGAAACCACTTAAAAGTTTAAGAAATGAAACAACTCGATCTCTACGTTTTCTGAAGAAAATGTCAGTACTGCTTGCCCATGCAAAAAATGCCGCAACAATGCTAGGGTGATTCTGGGCGGATGCTTACTGGCCCAACTTAGTCTTAAAGGGATAGTTCACCCAAAAATGAAAATGATGTCATTAATTACTCACCCTCATGTCGTCCAAACCTGTGAGACCTTCGTTCATCTTCGGAACACAAATTTAGATATTTTTGATGCATTCCGAGAGCTCTCTGACCCTCCCATAGACAGCAAGGATACTTATACGATCAAGGCTCAGAAACGTAGCAAGGAGTTTGTTAAAATAATCCATGTGACATCAGTGGTCCAACTGTAATTTTACAAAGCTATGAGAATACTTTTTGTGCACAAAGGAAAAAAATAACGACTTTATTCAACAATTCGTCTCCTCCGCATCACCCTATAGCGCCATTTTGAAGAGTATGTACGTGGATACGCGGTTTACGTTCAGAGCAAAGCGTTAACATCGTAAACAGCTTATTCGCATAGGCTGCTGCTGACACTGAACAGCATACTTTTACGTATGTGATACACTCTTAAAAATAAAGGTGCTTCACGATGCCATAGAAGAACTTTTTTATCTAAATGGTTCCATAAAGAACCTTTAACATCTGAAGAACCTTTCTGTTCACACAAAAGGTTCTTTGTGGTGAAAGAAGGTTCTTCAGATCATAAAAAGGTAAGAAAGAGATGGTTCTTTAAAGAACCTTTGACTGAATGGTTCTTTCTGGAACCAAAAATGTTTCTTCTATTGCATCGCTTGAAGAACCTTTTGAAGCACCTTATTTTTAAGAGTGTACTCTCCAAAATGGCGCTCCAGGGTGACGCGGAGGAGACAAATTGTTGAATAAAGTCGTTATTTTTGTTTTCTTTACACACAAAAAGTATACTTGTAGCTTCGTAAAATTACGGTTGAACCCTGATGTCACATGGATTATTTTAACGATCTCCTTTCTACGTTTCTGAGCCTTGATCGTATAAGTATCCTTGCTGTCTATGGGAGGGTCAGAGGAGCTCTCGGAATGCATCAAAATATCTTAATTTGTTTTTCCGATGATGAACAAAGGTCAGGAACGACATGAGGGTGAGTAATTGTTGACCATTTTCTTTGGGTGAACCAACCCTTTAATACTTTGGTTTAAAGCAGACTTCCTCAAATGCGGTCTTGGAGGAGACACCAGCACTGAGTTTAGCTCCAACCCTAATCAATGACACCTGAGCAAGCTAATAAAGTCTTCAGAGCTACTAGAGTAAACTCTGCATGGCAATGGATCTGAAAAGGTTTTAAAGCAAACCTCCAATGATAAATATGAGGAACAGTAATAGTGATACTCGCCTAAGAAAGCACCTTTAATAAAGACAAACATTATGCAGTCTTGGAAACAAAATCTTGTGAAATGGCCGAATGTTTGATTCTGTAGTAGAGCATCTCATCCATTATAGTCTGTAGGAATGCTGCAAGCATATTAAGGCATGGATGCTCACATCAGTTTGAAATCTTGCATCCAATTATAAGGGATTGTACCTTCACAGATATAGTCTAAGTCAAAATCACTATTTCTGGAACACTAAGTAGTGCTTTCTTAGGAGTACTTAAGACGGCTGGATAAAATATTTAAAAATTGTTAGGAAAAAAAAAGTGTATTTTACCCCCCAGAACATGATTTTTACTGGGGGACCCCACTCGAAATGCAATTGGGCTAGTTTTGGGCAAGTTTTGAGTAGCAACTGAGCGGGTTTTGCTGTGAAAACCTGGCAACCCTGGCTATGACGCACGTTACTATAGAA